TTAACCCAGGTGAGATCCTCTTTTTTTGTGCTCAGCGTAAAAGGCCAGCAGGGAAACCCTTTGTTTTTATGGGAATGATTACTTTGCTCCTGCTTTAAAAAGCTGTGTGGAATCTCTAAAAAGGGTCGCGGCATGAGGAAGGTTGAGAACCACTGGTATAAATGATTGGAAAGTTACAAAATACAGAATTCACTGTGACCTCTGGAGGCCCCAAAGGATCCACAAGAAAAAGAAATTGTGCGTTTGGTGTAGCACAGAAAACCTTTTATCCTGAAATCTTTTCAAAAAACACAAAGCGGTTCGTAATTGTGATAAACTGAGAAAAAAGTTTCCCTGGACTGAGTGTTATTAAAAAAAAGTTGTGATCCAGAGGGAGGGAAATATCCTACAGATGCCACTTAAGCTCTCTCAGGGTCTCTGTTGCCCCCTTATCTGCCCTCCATCCTCTCCTATTCCCAGTGGAAGAGACCCCCAAGAGACCCGGGTTGCCAGCTCTGAACTGGGTTAAAACTTTTAAGGTTTCATGGATGTTTTGTTTCTCTGGGAACCGTATGAATGTTCATAATCTTTTGGAGTGGGATTTAAAAAATATAAAAAAATAAAAATCAAGTTTTTTGTGCAGCCTTAATAACAGCATTTCAGCTATCCTACAGCATGTTGTTAATTTCTCCGGAATGCACTTTTCCCACATTGTTCACCACAGTGAAAAAAACTTGGAAATTTTGTTTGCTTAAATATTGCAGCGCCGGTGGGGGGCGGGGAGGGGAGGGGGAGGAGGAAGAGAAAAGGAAAAGATGGGGGAAAAAAGCTGTAGCCCCTTTGCCACTGCAAGGAGCCACCTGCTCCGTCTCTCCGTCCCTCCTGACCACTCCTGAGGACCCTTGGGGAGTGGGGGGGAGAGACCCTGGAGGGAGGCTGAAGGGACCTGTGAGGAGCAAAGAAGTTTAAAAATAAAAGGTTTCAATTGTTTAACGATGAAGGGATTAGTCAAACCGAATAGTAAACAGGACAAAAGGGTGGGAGAAATTTGAATTGATGTAAGCAAACAAAGGGTGGGAGAACTGGCTACGTCACTTGTGACACCCCCCCCCCCC